AGTGTTTCGTTCTGCTGTGTATGGGGTCTCTATGAGTCGGACACAACTTGACAGCACCTAACAACAACAAATAACCTATGGGCCAAAGAAGAAATCAAAAGAGAAATCAGAAAAACTTTGAGACAAATGAAAAGGAAGACCCAACAGACCCAAACTTAAGGGATGCTGCTGAAAGGGTGCTTACAGAGAGTTTTATAGCTATAAATACCTATATTAAGAAAGAAGGAAAATCTCAAATCAGTAACCACAATGTCCTAATCCTGTTGTGCATGAGATTGCCATCAGTCAATGTTATACTTGATGGGAGCCAACAACAAGAAGAGCAAAAACATATTCTACCATCTGAAAGCATTTGGCCTAACTAAAAAGTAGAATGACTTACTGAAGACTCATTTACTATGCCAGCTGGGAGATAGTATCATGGAAAACAGTGGTTATACTTCTATCAGAGACCATTAAATGATACAAGAAAACACAGGTCCAGGAATCAAGGTGTTGAAGTGAGAGTGACACTATTTTGCAGAATTTTTTTGCTTTCCATACCAGCAACTTCTAGATCTTGATCTTTAAGGAGGAATTCTTGCCCAGTGTACACAATAAACAGTTCCAATATATTTTACAATGAAACTACCCCCTGGATACACAGCACCTAAAGCATATGACTGCTAACCAGAAGGTTGGTGGTTCAAACCCATGAGTCACTTCACAGAAGCAAGACTGGGCAATCTATTTCCATAAAGATTTACCACCCCGGAAACCCATTGGGAGTCTCTATGAGCCAGAATCAACTCAACAGCAGTGGATTTCATTTTTGATTTTTATGCCACTGAACAGACAGGCTATTGGCAGTGATTGAATCTTCTTCTACTAATGGAGGATGTAAGGTACACTTTGAACTCTGGGTATTCTCTGAGTCACTTTTTACCTTTTACTAAAGTTTAATGGAAAATTATACTAACCAAAATAAATAAATAAAAGTAACATTAAGGAAACAAGACTCTTTTGGAACAAAGATTTGGGCCACTCCACTACCTAAGAACCAGCTGAGCTTTCGGCTAAGGGAAAAAGAATTAGGAAATGGGTAGTGAAAGAATGAAGCAAGTCACCAATTATAGCTTTATGGCCAATTACAGAAAGGAAGACTACAGCTTTGCATTATTTTCTCTTTGCTTGTTATATGTACATGTTTATTTGTATACATTAACTATTTTCTTTCATTTCCCTATTTCCTGTTATTTGTTTACACACAAGTTTTGGGAGGTTAGCTTTACAATTATTCTTTAGGTAACAGAATATTCAGAGACTATTCATTGAGGACAAATTAATACAGCCAGTAATGGACATAATCACTCTTGGGATTGTATGCCTTCTGATTTGGGGGAGAGGGTAAGAATTTCCTCACTTGTAAAAAGGACAGCTAAATCTTGTTAGTAGGCATGTAGACTGATTCTGTTGTTTTATTTTAGTTCAATTGTGTGAAGAAGAGCACATGCAGAAGCTGAGTAGTTGAGTAGTAAGTTGTAGACTGTGTCAATTATTGATCACAGCATCAAATTAACCTTTCTGTTTTTTTGTCCGCTCTATGAAAATTGATATGGGCCCTTTAAATAGTTTTCCTTTACTAAGTGGCCTTGACACATCATCAAAGGAAATAGTTTCTGTTAGAAATGGTTAAATTCATACCAAAAAAGAAACAAAATAAAGCATCATCCACCCCTTTGTGGATGTGGACTCTACAAAAATCATCACAGAAAAACTGATATGACAGAGTTAAAATACAAACAGTAAAATCCATACCTGAAAATGTTGTTCAAGAGGTTTCATAGTTTCTGTGCCGTTATAACCATAAACTCTAAAATTATGAGGTAAAAAATTTCTGTAAAGTGAAAATAAAAAGTATTTAATGAAAAAAAAAAAAAAAAAAACCTTCCTAAGTTTTGTTGCAAAAATGTCTTTCTTTTTTTACATTTACTATAAATAGGTTGTTGTTGTTATGTGCCGTCAAGTCGGCCCTGACTCATAGCGACCCCTCCTTGGGTTGCCGAGGCAGTACATAGAGATTATTTGAATATATGGGTTTTGAGCTAAACTTCACTTAAAAATCCTTATCTTGAAATCTGTCCTCATGCACTTTACTGCAGTCACAGTAGTCTCCTTTTTTTTAAGATAATAGGCAAGCTGTCCCTCAGGATATTTACACCAGATGCTTCTCTTTCCTAATATACTTTGTACTATGGCTCATTATCTCATGTGCTTCAAATCTTTGCTTATATATTTTCTTCTCAATGAGTTCTTTCTTGACAAATTCATAACAATTACAACTTTCTCTATCACTGAAGCTTATGACTTCCCAGCCATATTTCTTATCTTGTCTATATTTTTCTAAGCATTTTCTATTTTCTAATGCTCTTCCTAAACTACTTATCTATTATATCATTGTCAGTCTCACTTCATAATAATATATGTCCAGTGTTTGCTATCTATTTTGTTTACTAATACACCCAAAATGCTTCAAACAATATCTGTGAGTTAACACATGCTTAATAAATATTTGAAATAATAGGACATTAATTCAGTTGATTACATGGAGAATGCACATGAGAATTTTATTTTTAAATATGAGAAGACTATGCTAAAAAAAGGCTCTATGAAGAGAAAGCATAGAGGTAAGTGTCACAGTTTCATTTCCAAAATATATAATATAAAGATCCGTGACTGTCATGGAATTCTGAACGTGTTGAATCAAGAGGTAAAAGAGCTAATCCAAATCCACTAACATTTTTTTTTTTTCATTCTTGTAATAACAAGGAAAAAATAACCCTTGGTGTGGGACTCCAGAGAATATGCACAGTCTTAATTGAAAATCCTTTAAAGAGACTGAGCTGGTGATTAGCATATATTGTTTCTTGTAAAAGGAGGAAGAATCAAGAAACACGCAGAACTTTTGATGGTCATGCAGGACTATAGTGGAAATATTAAACATTTGAGATACATCAAATGCATAGCTGTTTCCCCTTAATAAAATCATTTGTCTAATTTTAAAGTTATAAAGAGTGGTCAAGGAGTTAAACTTAAAATCTCTGAAAATCAGAGCAAATTTTTTTTTTTTTTTTTACTGTATTGTGACGCTGAAGACACTGAAGTTCACCAAAGGTGAGGGCCATAATGAATATACCAGGTTCTCTGTTGAAATCTCTGGGCAGCTATGATTAAGGAACAAGAGAAAATTAGAGGTAGATAGAGCATTACCAAAATACAATTAAGCCTACAGGCTAATCACAGTTTGATTGTATTAATATATGTAAAATTACAGAAGATAACAAAACAGAAACATGCTATCTTCCCAGTATAAAATATGGTTAGCCTTCACTAAAATGCAATCAAGCCAAGTCTGTTACTGGATTAATATATTAAAAATACCCTATCTTCGTAGCATAGAAAAGGGTTAGTTATTATTCAAATAGCAAAAGTAAAATCAATATAGTTTCAGTCTCTTGTATTTCTCTTTCCACTGGACAATACTCAACTTGAGAAGTCAGATGACATATGATATAAGGCATGGGTCACTTTGTTGTGGAGGAAAGCACTCTAACCTATGACCAAAAAGTTTTGTAGTCAGGAAAAATTTTAAAAAAGTATGTATGTGGGGGGTAAGGGGGAAAGCTCCATGTCTCTCTGAAAAGAGGCAAATGAGAAAATGTTCATCTCACAATATAGGGAGCTTCCTGCAGGAGATGGATATGGATGATAAATGGACTTGTGACAACTATTCAAAGACTACCTGTGTAGTTATGTTCTAGAGATATCACAGAGTATTCCACTAAGATTTGAGTTAGACTATGTTGAGTTTTCCCTATGTGGTCTATGTGAGGAAGAAACTATGGAAGGTCTATTCCCTTGCAACTTTATAGTTTTTCTATACATTTCTTTCACTCAATCAAAATGAAAAATAAATTACCAGAAAGAGAATCAAAAGGATGTCATGATTAAAAAACAGCTGAACAGAAATAGAGAATAGAAACAGGTCTACAGGTGATCCAAACATTCCAGTCAACAAATAATAATTTTCTAAAAACCTATAATTGAATGATAAAAAGAGGAGAGGAAACACTAGATTAAAAGATGGAAAATTTCACAAGAACCACAATCTCAAAAAATTCTGTAATTGAAATAAGAACTCAATACCACACAAAAATGTACTCAATTGAATTATTGGCCATATATAGAACACTGAACTAAAGAAGGAAAAAATACGCATTATCTTTAAATACATGAGGAACATGTTTTGCCCAAGATTGAACAAAAAGTTTATAGATAATGGGAACAGAGCTTCTCACTATTAGAGAAGGGAATTTAAAATAGAGAAAGGGAGAAAGATCGAATGAATTCTGTGAAATTGGATGTATCATTAAGAAGATATATACATAAAGGCAGACATCTGGGTGGACTCATAGATACAGATAATACATGTACAGATTTAAATGTGTGTGCATGTATGTATAGATATGGGTTGGCACACTTGCATGCATTTACACACTGCTATTTCTCAGCTATAACCTTTGAGGGGGCTATAGTAAATAAAGCTAAGGTATCAATTAGCATACCTCATTCCACTAATGTCAAATATTGACATCTAAATACTATTCTTTACTAAAATTGACCAGAGCTACTTGCAGTAATCCTGCTGATTTCAGGACTGGAGGAGGGAAAGGACAAAGGACTGTCAAAAAATTATGACAGTGATCAAATAATGATGGTGACATGTCAAATCAGAATCATTTTGAAGTGTCTACTTCTGGCCATATCTGGCATGATTTGATCATAATAAATAATGATGACAAAGGATTATAAATACTATGAGAATTTATTTTTACACAATTACATAAATAAGATGTGAGAAGTAAAAGCTCTATCTTAAAAGGAAGGAATTATTAAAGAAGAATAAAGCAATAGTGATATGGCAAACTTCATTGTACTTAATGGATTTCAGATAAGAATCATCAATGAACATTAAAGTTTAAGGAGTAACGATATATTTATACAGTATCAAGTTATTTTCTCACAAGATAATAGTAATTACAATGAGAAAATAATAATTTCACTTTGAGACATCTAACAGACAAAACCCCAAGCACATGATCAATGTTAACATTACATATTTGGACATACTAAAATCACATGTCCCTTGATATAGTACACTGAAAAGAACATATTATTTCTGGGAATTCATAGGTCCCCAGAAAAACATAAAAAAAAAAAAAAAAAATTCACTTCTGTGAAGTATGTTCCAACTCATAGTGACCCCTCCTTGGGTTTCCCAGGGGATATCTCTACGGAAGTTGATTGCCCAACCTTGTTTTCGAGGAGTGGCTGGTGGGTTTGAACCACCAGCCTTCTGGTTAACAGTCAAATGCTTAGGCACTAGGCCACCAGAGCTAATTAAGAGGAAACATCAGACATAGACAAAATGAAGTATATTATACAAAATAACTGTCCTGTATTCTAAACAGTGTTAATATCACTAAACAAAAAGAAAATTTCCTGAAAGACATACAAAAGCTCTACACAAAAATAATCAGACCTACTTAAGAGAAATGGAAGAAAACTTAAACAAATGATTAAAACCTACTACCATTGAGTCAAGGAGCTCTGGTAGCATACTGGCTAAGGCACTTGACTGCTAACCAGAAGGCTGGTGGTTCAAACCCACCAGCCACTCCTCGGAAGGAAGATGGGGCAATCTACTTCCGTAGTGATACTGCCTCGAACACCCAAGAAGGGGTCGCTATGAGTCGGGTCTGACTCGTCAGCACATAACAATAACAACAACAACAACAAAATCTTTATGGAAGTAGATTGTCTCATCTTCTTCTTGCAGAGCAGGGGTTGAATTCAAACTGCCGATGTTTTGCTTAGCAGCAGAAAGCGTTAACCACTGCACCAGAGCTCCTTTTCAAATAAATGATAGAGTATGCCATATTCATAGATTGGAAATCTCACTACTGAAAATTTGTGAATTCTTCCAAAATACAGGTTCAATGTAATACCATTACAATTGTGTGTGTGTGTGTGAGAGAGAGAGAGAGATAATTGGCAAGTTTATTTCAAAACTCACATGAAAAATTCAAAAGGTCAAGAAGAACAAGGAGTACCTTAAAATCTAAGAATAAAGGTGAATATCAAGACCTAATATAAAGCTGATATAAAGTATGATACCATGTCATATTTGTATAGGTAAATAGATAGGATTTAAGAACAAGTATATCAGCTGTTTCCATTTGCAGTGCGGTGCGGGGCAAGCCAGTCTCAACTCTTGGTCATGTCCCAAGTTTCCTTAGACATGTACCGGAACCCGGGGTCCTCAGGGCCCCAGCTCCAGGACTTCAACAGCATCATCCAGACATGCAGCAGCAATATCCAGCAGATCAGCCAAGCCACTGTTCAGATAAAGAATTTGATGAGCCAACTGGGAACTAAGCAAGATTCAAGCAAGCTACAGGAAAATCTGCAACAGTTACAACACTCAATAAAGCAGCTTGCCAAGGAAACAATGAATTGCTGAAGGAATTAGGGTCTTTGCCCCTTCCTTTATCTACTTCAGAACAGCACCAGCACAACTTCAGAAGGAACTCCTGATGAATGACTTCTCTGTGGCTTAAACAGTTTCCAGGCTGTGCAGAGGAGGGTATCTGAAAAAGAGAAGGAGAGTATTGCCAGAGCTAGAGCTGGATCTCACCTCTCTGCAAAGGAGGGGCAAAGACAGGAACATCTTGTCCCATTTGACAACCATGAGGATTGGGACCAGATGCAAAGCCAAGAGGATGAGGTAGCCATCACCAAGCAAGATCTGGAACTTATTAAAGAGAGGGAAACAGCGATTCAGCAGCTGGAGTGTGACAGTGACATTTTAGATGTCAACCAGATATTTAAAGGTATGGTTACCATGATCCATGACCCAGGTTATCTGATTGATTGTATAGACACCAATGTAGAAAGTTCAGAGGTGCATGTCGAAAGAGCCAGTAATCAGTTACAGCATGCTGCTTACTATCAGAAAAAATCTCACAAGAAGATCTGTATCCTGGTGCTTGGCCTGTCAGTGATTATTGCAATCTTGGGACTTATTTTCTGGCAAGTTTATAAGAAGTGACTGCCTCAGAGCCTTCTTCTGATGAGCTGTTTTCAAGGGCAAGGGCTTGTTGGAGTCTTGCCAGGACAAAGTGATCACAAGAAAAGACCATACACCAGAATGTATTCTAATAATTTAGTTAGAAACTAACTGCTAACTAATTCTTGGAATTAGTGATCTATGAAGACAGTATTTATCCATTTATGTATAAGTTTTATTGATTTTTCAAATTAGGAATTAACTTATGTGGATTTTGCTTTCTTTTGTATTTTGATTGTCCTTCATCCCAAGTGTATACTGAAGATTCCATTCTAGATGCTCTTGTTTTGACAGGTGACACTACAACCTCATAATATTATCTTTTTATGTGTATACCAGATTTACCTTTTTAATGGCAACTGAAATTACTTTCTGGCACCCAGCATATAGGAGTCTGTCAGAAACTGTATAATAGGCCAGCAATTTTTATTATTTAACATTTTAATTTGAATTTCTAAGAAGCCTATTCTCTCTCTGCTTTGAAGGATTTTGGCACTGTATTTAACTGGAAAGTAAAAAATTGCCCATGTGCTCCAGATTAAATGAGAAGGATCTGTTTGAGCTGGTGAGTTGCTGGGGTACATGTTACTAAGCTGGGTTTAAAGTTTACTTCATTATCTGCTACGGTCATATAGAGCAGTTCATCCTTATACACACTTAGCCATCTCGTTCACTTTTTGAAGAAGTTAATTATCATTACCATAGCTCTGGTAGCATAGTGGCTAAAGCACTTGACTGCTAACCAGAAGGCTGGCGGTTCAAACCTACCAGCCACTCCTCGGAAGGAAGGTTGGGGCAATCCTACTTCCGTAGTGATACTGCCTCGGAAACACAAGGAGGGGTCGCTATGAGTCAGGGCTGACTCGACGGCACATAACAACAACAACATACTCTATGGGGTCCCTCTCCAATCTATCTGTATGTTGTTGTTGTTGTTGTTTGCCGTCGAGTCGGCCCCAACTCATAGTGACCCCTCCTTGGGTTTCTGAGGCAGTATCACTACGGAAGTAGGATTGCCCAACCTTCCTTCCATATAGAAAGAGAAAATTAGACAAACCATGATTTTGGAAAGCAGATAGGAATTGTTTGGAATGATTTAATCTTTCTGCTGTTGTTCACTTCTGATTTTACATTCCTAGTGAATGATGAATGTTGCTGTCCAAGGGCTGCTTCCTACCCCATAGGGTTGCTGGGCATTTGGTGGGAAGGGGAGTTTAAAAGCTAGACTGAGATTGGTTTAAAATTTAGTCCTGTGTACCTGGTGATAAAGCAAAGCACAGGTTCATTTTTGTGACTAACTGGTTGTTAATAGTGATATTAGATTTGTCCTAATTTATGAACAAGAAAGTAATCTCTCCATGTGTTTTAGAGACACACACACACAAAAAATGTTTCAATAAAACGTTGCTGACTTATAATGTAAATGTCATCCACTCCCTTTTTTCACAGGCCTAGAGCAGTTAAATAGAACATAATTTCTTTAGGATCTCACATAAATGTGAATCACACCAATGATTTTAGTTCATCCTTTACTGAATTAAAGATTTGGCTACCCTGGGTATATTTATATTCCTTTCTTCCATTCTGCTTAATGTTACTTAATCTTTTACTAAACTAATGTGAACAGTAGGGAAACAAGGACCCAAATGCATTTCTTTGCACTCTTGCACCATTTCACCCAATTAATACAGATAAACATTTTTAAAGCTTTAAAAAAAAGAAGAAGAAATATACCATATATAATGTGGTGATTATGTTTGTGTGTCAACTTGGCTGGGCCTGGTTGTGTGGCTGGGCGGCTGGCAGTAGTTATCCCCCATGATGATACTGGCAATCAACTCCATGGTGGGACCTAGCACAAGCAGCTGAGCAGCTGCTTTAGGGATGTGGTCTACTTCCCGTACATAAAAAACAGTTTTGGGAATGGTCTCTAGCTTAACGCTTGAACCCTGCATGTAGCCGTGTCATTTTTCAGCAGCCTGCCATACTGTGCCAACCTTGGACTTTCAATGGACTTAGATTAATGGCCTGCCATGTGGTTTGGTAACATTGGGACTGTACCTTTTTACTTATCAACCTTGGGTTTGTCAGTCTCAGCAGCCAATAGCTGTCCAAGTGAAGAAAAGCCTCTAGCTCCAGTGGGCTGGGAGCAGGAGGCAGAAATGAACCCCAAGATTGAGGGCCTTTCACCCAGCACCTAGAACCTGGCACTTTGAACTTGGACTTAAAGCCTCCAAATTGTAAGAATAAACTCTTGTTTGTTAAGGCCATCCCATTTGTGGTATATGCTTCTCAGAGTGGCACTGGGTAACCAGAACATATAATATCAAACCAAACGTTACAATCAGGTTGATTCTGACTGACGGTTACCTCATGTATGACAGAGTAAAACTGTGCTCCATAAGATTTTCAATGGCTTATTTTTCAAGAGTAGATTTCTA